TCGTGTGTCCAAAAACCTACAAAACCCAAGGTTTCGCAACACGGATTTTCAACAAAAGCGTGCGCGCGCTTTTGCGTAGTCGTCGTCGTCGTCGTCGTCGTCGCCGTCCTCCCTCCTCCCGCGTCGTCGTCGTCCTCGTCGCCTAAGTCGTCCTCTGTCTTTCCTCGTTTTCGTCGTCGTCGTCCTCTTTGGCGTCGTGGTCGTTTCCGTCGTCGTTGTCGCCGTGGTCGTCCCTCCTCCTCCTCTCTCGTCGTCGTCGTCGTCCGTCGTCGGCGTCTCGTCGTCGTCCCTCCTATTTCGTCGCCGTCGTCGTCGTCGTTGTCGTTGTCGTCGTCGTCCTCCCTCCTCTCTCGTCGTTGTCGTCGTCGGCGTCGCCGTCCTTCCTCCTTCTTCGTCGTTCGCGTCGTCGCCGTCCTCCCTCCTCCCTCGTCGTTGTCGTCGTTGTCGTCGTTGTCGCCGTCGTCGTCCTCCCTCCTCCCTCGTCGTCGTCTTCCTTGGCGACGTCGTCGTCGTCTTCGTCGTCGGCGTCGGCGTCGTCGTTGTCTTCGTCGTCGTCGACGTCGGCGTCGTCGTCGTCGCCGCCGTCGTCGTCGTCGTCGTCGTCGGCGTCGTTGACGTCGTCGTCGTCGTCGTCGGTGTCGTTGTCGTCGTCGTCGTCGGCGTCGTCAGCGTCGTCGTCGTTGTCATCGTCGTCGTCGACGTCGTCGTCGTCGTCGGCAGTGTCGTCGGCGTCGTCGTCGTGGTCGGCGTCGTCGAAGTCGTTGGAGACGTCGTCGGTGTCGTCGTAGTCGTTGTCGGCGTCGTCGTCGTCGTTGTCGCTGTCGTCGTCGGCGTCGCTGTCGCTGCCAAGCGCCATTTGGTACCCACCGTCACGGTCTTACGACATTTTGCAAAACAAGTTGCGGGTGGGTGGGTGGGATGTTTGCGCGAGCAGTGGTGTGGACAAGTCACTGCGAACAGAAATGATTGATTCTCCTTTCTAAAAAGAGGATAGACTCTATCCCCCCCAGCGTTCGCCGCCCCCCTTTCGGGTATATAATTCATTTATGATTATGACCACATGTCCATCCTAAATATGAATTTACATCGGTTTTTTAAAGATTTACACAAAATGCTACCAAACGGGCTTCGCGCGCGCGCATGTCGAAATCTGTCGAACGCCCTTGCGCGTGTGCCGTCGCGAGAACCCTTTGCAAAAAACGGGACGAAGTGCAGACGCGCGTATGCCGAAATCCTTCAAACCCATCGGTTTCGGAAGGATTTCAAAATCGTGTGTCCAAAAAACCTACAAAAACCCAAGGTTTCGCATCACGGATTTTTAACAAAAGCGTGCGCGCGCGCTCTTGCGTCGTCGTCGTCGTCGTCGTCGCCGTCCTCCCTCCCCCCGCGTCGTCGTCGTCGTCGTCGCCTACGTCGTCCTCTGTCTTTCCTCGTTTTCGTCGTCGTCGTCATCCTCTTTGGCGTCGTGGTCGTTTCCGTTGTCGTTGTCGCCGTGGTCGTCTTTCTTCCTCCTCCCTCGTCGTCGTCGTCGTCGTCCGTCGTCGGCGTCTCGTCGTCGTCCCTCCTATTTCGTCGCCGTCGCCGTCGTCGTCGTCGTTGTCGTTGTCGTCGTCGTCCTCCCTCCTCTCTCGTCGTTGTCGTCGTCGGCGTCGCCGTCCTTCCTCCTTTTTCGTCGTTCGCGTCGTCGCCGTCCTCCCTCGTCGTTGTCGTCGTTGTCGCCGTCGTCGTCCTCCCTCTCCCTCGTCGTCGTCTTCGTTGGCGACGTCGTCGTCGTCTTCGTCGTCGCCGTCCGCGTCGGCGTCGTCGTCTTCGTCGTCGTCGACGTCGGCGTCGTCGTCGTCGCCGCCGTCGTCGTCGTCGTCGTCGTCGGCGTCGCCGTCCTTCCTCCTTCTTCGTCATTCGCGTCGTCGCCGTCCTCCCTCCTCCCTCGTTGTCGTCGTTGTCGCCGTCGTCGTCCTCCCTCCTCCCTCGTCGTCGTCTTCGTTGGCGACGTCGTCGTCGTCGTCGGCGTCGGCGTCGGCTTCGTCGCCGCCGTCGTCGTCGTCGTCGTCGTCGGCGTCGGCGTCGTTGACGTCGTCGTCGTCGTCGTCGGTGTCGTCGTTGCCGTCGTCGTCGGCGTCGTCATCGTCGTCGTCGTTGTCATCGTCGTCGGCGTCGTCGTCGGCGTCGTCGTCGTCAGTGTCGTCGTCGTCGTCGATGCCGGCGTCGTCGAAGTCGTTGGAGACGTCGTCGGTGTCGTCGTAGTCGTTGTCGGTGGCGTCGTCGTTGTCGTTGTCGTCGTCGGCGTCGCTGTCGTTGCCAAGTGCCATTTGGTACCCACCGTCACGGTCTTAAGAGATTTTGCAAAACAAGTTGCGGGTGGGTGGGTGGGATGTTTGCAAGAGCGCGGGATTTGTCAACTCGTTTGTTTCAACCAATTCTCCTTTCTAAAAACAGAATAGGATCTACCCCCCCCCCGGCGTTGTCGCTTAACTTTTCGGGTCTGTAAATCATATATGATTCTGACCACATGTCCATCCTAAATATGAATTTACACTATCCCCGGGGGGCCGGTATCCCCCCCCCTGAGGTCCCCTCGTAAAAAACACTATGCGGCGACATTTTTTGTTCCAACATTACACTTGTTCACGAATCCCTTGCAAGAAATGGGACGAAGTGCACACGCGCGCGTCGTCGCGCGCGCATGCCGAAATCCTTCAAAAACCTTCGGTGCCGGAAGGATTTCGCAATCGAGTTTACAAAAAAACATGCTAAAAGACAGGGTTTCGCAACACTGATGTGCTAAAAAAGCTTACGCGCGAGCTCTTGCGAAATCTTAAGAAAACCATGGGTTTTTTAAGATTTACACTAAATGCTACCAAACGGGCTTCGCGCGCGCGAATGTCGAAATCTGTCGAAGGCCCTTGCACGTGTGCCGTCGCGAGAATCCTCTGAAAAAAATGGGACGAAGTGCAGACGCGCACGTCGTCGCGCGCGTATGCCGAAATCCTTCAAAACCCACCGGTTTCGGAAAGATTTTTAAAATCGTGTGTCCAAAAAACTTACAAAAACCCTAGGTTTCGCAACACGGATTTTCAACAAAAGCGTGCGCGCGCGCTCTTGCGTAGTCGTCGTCGTCGTCGTCGTCGCCGTCCTCCCTCCTCCCGCGTCGTCGTCGTCGACGTCGTCGCCTACGTCGTCCTCTGTCTTTCTTCGTGTTCGTCGTCGTCGGCCTCGTTGGCGTCGTGGTCGTTTCCGTCGTCATTGTCGCCGTGGTCGTCCTTCCTCCTCCTCCCTCGTCGTCGTCGTCCGTCGTCGGCGTCTCGTCGTCGTCCCTCCTACTTCGTCGCCGTCGTCGTCGTCGTCGTCGTCGTTGTCGTCGTCGTCTTCCGTCCTCCCTCGTCGTTGTCGTCGTCGGCGTCGTCGTCCTTCCTCCTTTTTCGTCGCTCGCGTCGTCGCCGTCCTCCCTCCTCCCTCGTCGTCGTCTTCGTTGACGACGTCGTTGTCGTCGTCGTCGTTGTCTTCGTCGTTGTCGTCGGCGTCGTCGTCGTTGTTATCATCGTCGTCGTCGTCGTCCGTCGTCGGCGTCTCGTCGTCGTCCCTCCTACTTCGTCGCCGTCGTCGTCGTCGTCGTTGTCGTCGTCGTCTTCCTTCCTCCCTCGTCGTTGTCGTCGTCGGCGTCGTCGTCCTTCCTCCTTTTTCGTCGTTCGCGTCGTCGCCGTCCTCCCTCCTCCCTCGTCGTCGTCTTCGTTGACGACGTCGTTGTCGTCGTCGTCGTTGTCTTCGTCGTTGTCGTCGGCGTCGTCGTCGTTGTTGTCATCGTCGTCGTCGGCGTCGTCGTCGTCGTCGGTGTCGTCGTCGTCGTGGTCGCTGTCGTCGTCGAAGTCGTTGGAGACGTCGTCGGTGTCGTCGTCGTCGGTGTCGGCGGCGCCGTCGTCGTCGTCGTCGCTGTCGTCGTCGGCGTCGGTGTCGTGGCCAAGTGCCATCTGGTACCCACCGTCACGGTCTCGTCTTAAGAGGTCTTGCGACCAAGTTGCGGGTGGGAGGGTGGGATGTTTGCACGAGCAGTGGAGAGGACAGTTTCAAGTTGAGCAAGTGATTGGTTGCACCACATAGGTTCCACCACTGTGATTGCAGCACATAAATTCAACCACACAGATAGCACAACATGGATTGCACCTCCTAAAGTGTACCACGTCGATTGCACCGCATGAGTTGCCAACAAACATAGATTGGACCGCATATAATGCACAACATATACTTCACAATATAAAGTGCACCGCATAGATTGCGCACGGAATATATTGCACCACAGATATGGCACAACGTGGATTGTTCCACGTATATTGCACACCACAGAGTGCTAGAACCATACCGCTTGAGGTCCACGCTGGCTAAAGTATCTTCATCAGGGCAGGTTGCAATCATCATACTGAGATGTCGGCCCATTGAGGTGCGATGCGGGGCATCGACAACAGGACAGTTCAACATGTCAGCTCGATTTGGCGGAAATCTGTTGTTATCAAGTGGCGGGAGCATCCCGCGGGCGGTCTGGTTGGATTCCTTCCCGCGCCTCCCCGATCATCGTCCACCTGCAGCCACGGCGGTTGGCGACGCTTCTGCCCTCTCTTCCTCTTCTGGCCCCGTTTGTGTGGACCCGCTGTTCGATTCGGATCGTCTCTTGAATGGCCTTGGAGCCCGAGACCGACCCCGGAAGCGTAAAAATAGGAGCGGCAAGAACGTAGTGTTGTCCAAGACGTTGGAGGGGGGGCACAATGCGTTCTTTCCTCGTCCGCTCGCTCGGCAGGGGCAGAGTACGGAGCTCCCGTCACGTCTCGTGAGACAAGACAGAGAAGGAAAGCAGCAGCAGACAGCGACGAGGCATGGCCTGGTCCACGAGAAAGTGCGCCCCAAAAACCTCCGACCGTGCGATTTGTTTGTTCGTGACGTGGGCCCCTCGGGCTCTGAACCCCCTTCATGAGGCGAGGCGGGAAGAGAGAGCGATGGGAAAGCATGGAGAGTGTTTGATGTTTGTTGGCGTGGATACCTGCCCTGCTGCCCTCCAGATCTGGGAGCGGTCGCAGCCGCAGCATCCTGCAGCTTCGTTATGAATTACTTTTCTGCACGGCTCGCTAGGTGATGACAGCGTTTATATGATTCTGAGCGCGCCCTCCAGTCAAAAGAGAGCGGCTTCGCTTGCTTCACATTGTTGCCGTTGCACACTCCAAAGCCCTCTTGCGTCCGTGCCCTCATTCTCTTCCTCGCCCCACGGGCGGCATTGCCACTATGAGGGGCTGGTGCCAGACCAGCCATCAGACAGACACTCTGGAATCAAACTGCGTTGGCGGTTGACCATGTGTTTCCCTTGTCCTCTCCGCATCCTTGCTCGCTAGGAGGGCGCCGAAGATGAGGAGAGGACAAGGGAGGAGGAGGAGGAGGAGGAGGAGGAGGAGGAGGAGGAGGAAGAGGAAGAGGAGAAGGAGGAGAAGTAGGAGGAGGAGGAGGAGGAGGAGGACAAGACGACAAGAGGGGAGGAGGAGAAGGAGGAATAGGAGGAGGAGGAGGAGGAGGAGGAGGAGGAGGAGGAGGGAGGAGGAGGAGGGAGGAGGAGGAGGAGAGGAGGAGGAGGAGGAGGAGAGGAGGAGGAGGGGAGGGGGGAGGAGGAGGAGGAGGAGGAGGAGGGGAGGAGGAGGAGGAGGAGGAGAGGAGGAGGAGGGGAGAAGAGGAGGAGGAGGAGGAGGAGGAGGAGGGGGAGGAGGGAGGAGGAGGAGGAAGGAGGAGGAGGAGGAGGAGGAGGAGGAGAGGAGGGGAGAGGAGGGAGGGGGAGGAGGGGGAGAAGGAGGAGGAGCAGCAGCGGAGGAGGAGGAGGAGGAGGACGACGAGGAGGAGGAGCAGGAGGAGGAGGAGGAGGAGGAGGCGGGGGGGGGAGGGGGGGAGGAGGGGAGGAGGAGGAGGAGGAGGAGGAGGAGGAGGAGGAGGAGGAGGAGGAGGAGGAGGAGGAGGAGGAGGAGGAGGAGGAGGGAGGAGGAGGAGGAGGAGGAGGAGGAGGGGGGAGGAGGAGGAGGAGGGGAGGAGGAGAGGAGGAGGAGGAGGAGAGGAGGACGAGGAGGAGGAGGAGGAAGGGGGAGGAGGAGAAGGAGGAGGAGGAGGAGGAGGAGGGCAGGAGGAGGAGGAGCAGGAGGGGGGGGAGGAGGAGGAGGAGGAGGAGGAGGAGGAGGAGGAGGAGGAGGAGGAGTAGGAGGAGGAGGAGGGGGAGGGGAGGAGGAGGAGGAGGAGGAGGAGGAGGAGGAGGAGGAGGAGAGGAGGAGGAGGAGGAGGGGAGGAGGAGGAGGAGTAGGACGGAGGAGGAGGAGGAGGAGGAGGAGGAGGAAGAGGAGGAGATGCTTGGCACCGCAGTCTCGGCTGGAGAGCTGTCTTCCTCCAGTGGAGGGCGGCGCAAGGGACCTCGAAGGCGGCCGCGCCTCGCGCCGCGGCGAGGAGGGGCGCGCCCAGACCCTGACGACTCGGGCAGCGTTTGCTTGCCTCTGGAGGACCTGCTTGGCTGTCTTTCGGGGGGGGGGCAGGGGGGCTCCAGGGGGATAAGCCCCCCGAACCCCCCAAACAAGAAATAGCCTGGCGAAGGACCCAACCATATGCAGCTGCGAGTACCGCGAGGGAGATGAGACGAACCGTGTGAGGAGCGTGCCGAAATTGGTGCTTGAACGCATGTGGACGCACCCCTTGGGGCCTTCAGTGGAGCTCCCTATGGGGCCACGAACCGTGTGAGGGTTGTGCCGAAATGAGCTTCTGGGACGCATGTGGATGCACCCCCTGCGGACTTCGGTGGAGCTCCCCATGGGGCCACGAACCGTGTGAGGGGTGTGCCGACATTGGGTGACGGGGACGCATGTGGCCACACCCCCATGGGGCCTTCGGTGGAACTCCTTATGGGGCCACGAGCCGTGTGAGGGCTGTGCCGAAATGGATGGCGGGGGCGCATGTGAACTATGTCATTGGGGCCTTCGGTGGAGCTCACATGGGGCCACGAAAAGCGTGAGGGGTGTGCCGAAATGGGTGGCGGGGACGCATGCGAATTGTGCCATTGGGACCTTCGGCGGAGCTTTTTTGGGGCCACGAAACGTGTGAAGAACGTGCCGAAATGGATGGCGGGGACGCGTGCGAACGGCACCATGGGAACCCTCGGCGGAGCTCCTATGGGGCCATGAAATGTGCGAGGGGTGCCGAAATGCGTGGCGGGGACGCACGCGAACGGCACCACTGGAACCTTCGGTGGAGCTCCCAGGCCACGAAACGTGTGAGGGTGTGCCGAAATGAGTGGCGGGGACGCGTGCGAACTTTGCCATTGGGACCTTCGGCGGAGCTCCTCTGGGGCCACAAAACGTGTGAGGGGTGCGCCGACATGAATAGCGGGAACGCGTGCGAATTGCGCCATTGGGATTTTCGGCGGAGCTCCTATGGGGCCACGAAACGCCTGAGGGGTGTGCCGAAATGGACGGCGGGGGCGCATGTGAATTGTGGCACTGAGACCTTCGGTGGAGCTCATATGGGGCCACGAAACGCGTGAGGGGCGCACCGAAATGGGTGGCGGGGACGCATTCGAACGTTCCCATTGGGACCTCCAGCAGAGCTCCTACGGGGCCACGAAACTCGTGAGCTGCGTGTGCCGAAATTGATGGCGGGGACGCGTGCGAACGGCACCATGGGAACCCTCGGCGGAGCTCCTATGGGGTCACGAAACGCGTGAGGGACGTGCCGAAATGGGCGGCGGGGACGCATGCGAACTGTGCCACTGGGACCTTCGGCGGAGCTCCTGTGGGGCCACGAACCGCGTGAGGGGCGTGCCGAAATGAGCGGTGGGGACGCATGCGAGCTGCCCCACCGGGACCTTCGGCGGAGCTCCTATGGGGCCACGAAACGTGCTAGGGGTGCGCCGACATTGGTGGCGGGGCCGCATGCGAACTGTTCCAGTGGGACCTTCGGCCGAGCTCCTATGGGGCCACGAAACGTGTGAGGGGCGTGCCGAAATTGGTGGCGGGGACGCACGCGAACGGCACCACTGGGGCCTCCAGCGGAGCTCCTATGGGGCCACGAACCGTGTGAGAGGTGTGCCAGAGTGAGGGGGGTGACGATGATGATGGAGGAGGGAGGAGGGGAGGAGGAAGGAAGGAAGGGAGAAGGGAACGCGGGGACCGTCTCTTCAAAACGAAGACCCAACACCACAGGATGGTTGGGAAAAACCTTAGGGGTTTTGGGGGGGGGGGGGCGCTGTCGCTGAGAGCCTGTCCGCCGCCTCCGCGACGCGGCCGAGCCCTCCAGCACCTCCGCGGCGCGGACATTCATCTGGCGCCTCCGCGACTCGGCCGCCCCGCCGCGGTCTACAGCCAGGGCCACGTCTCGCCCTGCAGACGTGCCCATAGAGACTCGGCGGTGCCGGTTGACCAACTCCCGGAGCTCGCGGATGGCCTCCCAGCCCCCGTTGGCAGCCAGCACGCCGTCGGTGAACTTGGCGTTCTTGCCAAACCGCACGCTGAAGAGATCAATGTCTGTTCGGAGAGAAGCAGTGACCGTCTCGAGGCGCTCCTCGACGTGGTCTGGGCACCCCCCCGTCTCTAGCACCATCACCTCAGTGCGACGGGTAACTCGGTCCCCTGCGGCGCCCACGAAGAAGTTCAGCCCCCACTTGATGCAGACGTCGATCTGATAGAGAGAACCCCAGCAGGGAGACGCGCACCCCGGAAGCGACCCACCGGTCAGCGAATGCTCGAAACCATGCTTGGAGGGGCTCACTTGCGTCGACGTCATGTCGTGGGCGAGCGCGTGTGACTACTGCCAGGTGCGTGAAGCGCGGGGCATCCGCGACCAAGAATTGGACCAACTCATCGAGCAGAAAGAGCGCCGTACCTTGCGAGAGGCCGAGTGTCTCAAAGAGGGCGAGTGCCCCGTCTGGGCCGGGCCGCACCGCTCAAAGGCCTCGGTGCGAGGAACCTAGCGCAGCAGCGTGCAGAGGTACGGATCCTGAACGACCACCTCGTGGCAATGACACTCCACTGCAAACGTGGATATGAGGAACCTCAAACTCTCATCCTGGCTCCCAGGGGCAACGGTGAAGGAACCTCTGCACACCGGTCGGACGTCACTGCCTCGCCCCAGAGTTGGCGGGGAAGCGCCGTGCATGCATCGGCATCCTCCAACGCGGTGCCACGGACAGCTGCCCGCACCTGCAGGGCACCGCAGCACAGGGCGGGGCCGCACCCGCCTGCCGCATCCACGGGCGCTGGGCCGCGGCTGCACCCCGCCCGCCTCGCCGGCGCGCGCTGCTGCGGCTGCCGCCCGCTCTCCCCGGCGCAGCCGAGCAGCGGTGCCTTCTCGTGCCCTCTCCCCCCCTCCTCTTCCTCCTCCTCCTCCTCCTCCTCCTCCTCCTCCTCCTCCTCCTCCTCCTCCTCCTCCTCCTCCTCCTCCTCCTCCTCCGCCTCCTCGTCCTCCTCCTCCTCCTCCTCCTCCTCCTCCTCCCCCTCCTCCTCGCAGCGTCGTGGAGGGAACGGCCGAGGGCCGTTGGCGGAAGGCGCTCCCAAGGCCAGCGCCGGGGCCGCCGCCGAGAGAGGGAGCCGCGGACGACGGGCGCGCTGCAAGGCCAGAGCAACCTGTCCGCGCCGCCCACCGAGGCCAGCATCCGGGACGCGGGCGCCTTCGGCCAGCCGTCGAAACCCAGAAGAGAAAGACGCCGACCTTATCCCCATGTACGTAGCAGCGGACGCGGTCTGGGAGAGCGTCTGCGTTTCGCCAGAACCGGTGCCCAGGTTCCAGGATGCCGAGCATGTGCCGAGCCGCACCGTGCCTCGCCGAAGTTCTAGAAGGCGAAGAAGGTGCCGTGTCCGTGCCAAGTCGTGCCTGGTCTGTTGCCGACATTCCTTGTCTTTTGGTCACGAGTATCATTGCTACCTTTCTCTTCCTCCTGCTACCCTCCCCCTCCTCCTCCCTCCTCCTCCTCCTCCTCCTCCTCCTCCTCCTACTCTTCCTCCTCCTCCTCCTCCCTCATCCCTCCTCCTCCGTAGCCATTTTGGCACAAGCCCTGGTGCCAGCTGGATAGTCTCAAGAAGTCGTTATGTCCCTCGAAGCGTCGATCAAGAATTGCGGCCTGACAAAACAATGGAGCGCCGCACTGCGGTTGCTCCGCGAAGGAATTCAATTGGGTATGCAACTCGTCCCAAGCCACTACGTTGCGACTGTCAG